ATTGACACGTTTTATGGTATGGGCATAATAACGACATAACACCAGGGATATTGTGGAACAACAACATACCTAAAGTTCATGTCACATCCGAGGATGTAGTTTCTGTTGCAAAAGTCAATATTAAATATTATAAGCAGTTATCAAAGGGCATGGCCAAATAAAAGTATGCCCAATTACCCAGTTTGATAGCAGGTGATGATACATTGAATGTGGATCTTCTGTGGAAAATCGCTTGGTTGTTTAGGCCATCTTGGAATGGTTTTATGCAAATGGTACATCAAGGTCGTCATCCTGGGGTCTCATCTATAATGTTCATGCCAATTGATATGAAATCAACTGATGAACCATTATCTTCTTAACTATGTGCTTCATCAGTGAACAAGCCAAGAAGTATGATGTAACACCAGTGCTTACCTTCGACCAGCCATTGCGGTGGAAATCACTGGAAATCCAACTGAAAGAGAGACAATGCATACTGAGAATGCTGTTGGACATATGTTGAGTGGCAGGCCATTTCTAGGGCTATTAGGGGTCACATTCTAGTGGAAGCACCATTATATGAATTGCTTTTGTCAATGATGTATGACCTTCCATTACCAAGAATATAATCAGACATTCAAGAAGACACCAATGCTAGTGAATTAACAGATATACCCGAGCATGGCGATTCCAGTAATGCAAATCAGTCACAAACAGAAGATACAACAAATGAATTGAAAGAAGCAAGGATCATCCCAGAGAGGCTGCTTGCACATAAGACAGAGATAGAATCGGTTTGTTCGGAGGAAGTACTGACTCTAATACAGGAAAAAATCAACCAATTCAAGGAATCACTCGCTTCCCTTAGAACATCCAAGTTATGGTTACCGTACATAGAGATGATTGAAATACTGAAAGAACTGGTAACTGGTCTCTCCATCTGAAAGCTTTTTCAGACATGCTTCCATACTTTGCTGCATCTGGCCATAATATGCAAAGTCAGTGTACATATATCTTCAGATTATGTCAAAACTACCAGAAAGTAATGCTGATGTATTTCGATCATTTCTGAATAGATACCACGTGGTTAGGCAGACAGACAGGTACTGGGCAGGTATATCGACTGATCTTGCAATTGAACAAGTGTTAATGCGGAGTGTCAAAACAAGTGGTGGGCTGACAAGGGGTAGAGGTATGTCAGAAATACAACGTATTGTTTGGCTACTCTCAATACGTTCACTAGTGTTTCTTACATCACAAGTGAGCAACACAAAGAGAATGCAAAGACCAGGCAAATTAGAGATCATAATGACCTAATGGAGTTGGTACAGTTTCTTCATGCAAGAAATCTATTCACGAACAACTCTTCTCTATGTAGTATAGCTACTGGAGTTGTTGCTGATGACACAGTAAATGTCGATAATGGTCTATTGGTGCTGAAATAATATGATTGGAAAAAGCGCGAGTGATTTTTCATTCACTAAAAAGAACAGGCTAAAACAATAAGTGTGAAAACATCATTCAAGCTTGATGCAGATGAAGTACAAGTTGATCCCCAGTTGTTATTTCAAAGACATTGTAAGTTGTGCAAACCTCCCCTCTGATTGGTTATTGATTACATAGTTAGATTCCTTTGTTTCACCTGTTTGACCTGTGGTGAACTCTGGGCTAGGCAGGCTATTGTCTTCAGTTCAGCACATGCTTCTGAAGAGTGAAGACGTCTCTGTGTCTGCTCTGAATTGATCTGCCGCATTGGGTTTTCTGAAACTTGCTAGGTTTGCTAACATTTGTACACCGGTCCGGGAAGGTGCCACTAAACGAGGTAAGGAAGGTTTTCTTTTCATTGTTGGCTTCATCAGCATGAAATTATTGGCAGTGATTTGTTACAAGTTTGAGTACTCGTATGAACTCGATTTTATCAC